CCATAGTGGCACCGCCTCAGAAACTCAAGGGGGGGGGGCGGGTCGCAATGAGTCGGATCCCATTCGTCAACAGTGAGTTTGGTTTTTTTGGTTTATAGGAATGGTGGCAGGCTGATCTTGGTCTCTTCTTTCATCTTCACACATCAGCTACAAGGTTTCAGGACCAGGGATTACAGACAGACAAAGGGACACATGAACATCCCAGAGACTTCTTAGAACAGAGAACCAATGTCGTGGAGCTGACTTGAACTCATGGTAAGTCAGTGTGTGTCACAGTAGAACTGTGCTCCATGGGGTCCTGGCTGAGGTTTTGGAAGTAGATCTCCAAGTCTTTCTTCTGAGGAGCCTTTGGGTGGACTTGAATGTCCAGCTTTTTGGTTGGCAGCCGAGCACATTAACCAGTTACACCACCACCCAGGGACTCCATGAGCAGCAAAGAGTCCGTCTATCTATTTAAGCACAAAGAGGGGAGGCCTCAGCCTTCCTGGGAACACTGTCTCTGACCAGGAGGCTGCAGCAGCTTCAGATGCTGGTCAAGCCCCTCCTCAGTGGCCCAGTTACCCATCCACTGTGATCGAAGACAACCTTAGGGTAACTAGACATCAATGAGTTACTTAACATTATATTAGTAAAACCTGCAAATTAACATTTGCTTTGTTCTTCAGTCCCCGGTTCAGAGACCCTTTGTAGTGGGTCCATGACCTGGTTCCCCTAAGAAATTCCTTGGGATTGTAACTGCTCGGAACCCAAGAAATGCTTCATGAGTAGTTCCTCCATATGGCTCACTCTACTTGGTGCTTCATTGAGATGAATAAGAAACAAACCTTCTTCTAAAGGATCCACAGTGATCAGTGTCTTAAGAAGAAGCAAGAGGGAGGCCACTGAGGGAAAGGGCTCTCGGGTGAAGGGGTGTTTAGCAGGAAGAGACGTTCTTAACTCTCTCTTTACTCGGTATCTTATGGTGTTACGCCTTGTAATTTAAAGATGGTGGCTGACACTCAGAGGGGGATCTGTGTAGGAGATCCTGGATAGAGTGGGAAAATAATGT